CCTTCCTGGGCTGGCCCAGCCTCCCTCACCTGCAGCTCGTCACCCCATAACTACCCTGCCCCCAGCCCTGCCCGCGGTGGGGGGTTTAATGCTCCCCTGTGAGTCAGGATGATCCCAGAAGGGACCTTCCGGACAGGTGTCCATGTCACGGCCACCACCCTCTTGGTGAAGCCTCAGCCCCTGCCAATCCCCGCCCACCCCCACCCCTCCCTCAGCCTCTGCCGAGCCTCTGCCGAGCCTGTCCCGAGCCTGTCCCGGCAGGAGGGACAGGCCCAGGGTTCCTCCCGGTGGGTCAGCTTGCAGCTCAGCCCAGCCTGGTGCCCCCCAGAGACATCTTCCCGGCTTGGGGATGGGATGGGCCAGGGAGGGGAGGGGGCGGTCCCAGGCTGGGGCCGTGACCGCTGCCCGCGGTGCCCGTCCAGGCTGCAGGTGCCCTGTGACAGCACCGAGTCAGAGATGAACCACCTGTACCCGGCCTTCGCCCAGCCCGGCCGCGAGTGCTTCCTGCAGAAGGAGCCTCTGCTCTTCAGCTGTGCGGGCTCCAGCACCAAGTACCACCGGCTCTGTCCCTGCCGAGACTTCCGGAAGGGCCAGGTGGCCTTATGCCAGGACTGTCTGTGAGGGCGCCCACCCGTCTGGCCCTCCCTGCCGCCGGAGAAAGCACCAGCAGATTCCGAGCTCCAGCGACCCGCCCTCCCCTCGACACCCCCACGCTGGAGCTTCTTCCTTGGCCAGGAAGTGGGCAGAGCAGACTCGTGCACAGGGTTAGGGGCGGGCCACTCATCCACGGGCGGGGTGCCCGCCCCAGGCAGGCTCCTCGACCTCGTCTTGGGGCTCGTGGCAGCATCGTGGCCAAGCAGCTCTGGGATTGGTCAGGGGCCCCAATGGCAGGAGCAGGTGGTCAGAGGCCCCTTGCTTTGTGCAAGGCCAATCCTGGACCAGACTGAGGGCCCTGGTCCTTCTTGGGCCCAGGATGGGGCCTCAGAATGTATGCGGAGGGAGCAGGGGCAGTGTGCCCGATGGCCCACTGCAGGGTCCAGGGAGAGGGGAGTGATGTGTGAGGGCTCAGTCTTGTCCCTCTGCGGTTGTTTGGGGTATGGACAAAAGGAACAAGGGACTGGGGGACCCTGCTCATGCCTGTTCATGCCTCCTCTCAGCCCCACTCCTCCTGCCTTCGCCATCTCCCCCTCCCCTCTATACTTGGGGGGCGCAGCGGGAGTGGGGCGCCACCTAGCTCCTGGGTTGAACTGTTTCCCTCTCCTGCTTGCTCCGGCGCTCTCCACTTTGGGCTTCTCCCGAAACTCATCTTGGCATGACTGCGATTCCAGGCCGTGGATTTGTCCCCAGAGCCTCAGTCCCCAGCCCAGCAGGCTCTGGAACCCCACCCCCCAGCATCTCGTGTAGGCAAAGGCTTGGGATGGAGCTTCAGCCCCATGGCACGCCTAGCCCAGCTCCTGGCGTCCCAGGCCTGCCAGCCCCCAGGTAGCCCCCACCCCCTCGATGCTGCCCGTCCCCACCTCCAGCTTTCTCCAGCCTCAAACCACCTCTGGACCCAACTGTCCTCTCTGTATGGTATGCCTGAGCCCGGCCCCAGGATGCCCTTTCCCCTCCTCCCCATGCCCAGAGCCCTGCCTGATTAAACTGGTAGGGCCTTCAGAGACACTGCCACCCCACCCCGTTTTATAATCCCACCCCCCCCACCAGGCAACTCCCCCCCACCCAGGCCTGCCCCTCCCCCCTGCCAGGGAGGCAGCCCAGGCCCTGAGAGCTGGCAGAGGGGAGCCAGCCCTCGGGCTGAGCAGGGGCCCTCCCATCCAAGACCCCTCTCCGGGCCTGGGTGGCCCCTGCGGCCGCCGAAACTCAGTGGTCACCAAGGACCTGACCTGTCGGGGGAAAGCAATAGAGACACTCTTTTCTCTCTCTCTTTTTTTAAAAATTTATTTCTTGAAATAATAAATATTTTATTGGGATGTGTGGTGCAGAGGAGGCGTGTGCTGTTTCTCATCTTTTCCTGGGACGCCCTGGGCGGGGGGTGTCTATCTTGGTGCCCCGGCCCCTGCTGCATATTGTCACTCGGCGCGCACAGGGTGCCTGGGTCTGCAAGGCTGGAGCTCTCTGGGTCAGGCTGCCCAAGGGCAGTCCCTACAGGGGCCCCCCAACCCCCACACCGTGGCTCCTGGGACCCTGCTTGACGAGCGGGGCTGTCCCCGCTTCATTTCACCTCAGGCTGGCCTCTGTGAGGTCAGAGAGCACAAATGTATTTTGATAAGAGCCTGAGCCAGATCGAGATAAATCCTAGCTAATGCTTACTGGGCGTATATTCCCCTTTACAGTTGAGAAAACGGAGGCACAGAGAGTTTAAGTAACTTGCCCAAGGGCACACAGCTTATAAGCAGTGAGGTGGGGAAGGGGGGATCATTTCAAAGTAGCTATGAGGATCAAATGACCCAACAGGGTGACAGCCCAGCCTGGGGCCCCGCCTGCAGCTGTGCTTACAGTTCTCTGTGATCCTCTGTGAGCCGGGACTTCCTTCTAGCCAGGGGTTCTGCTCGGGGATGCTCCTTCTGCAGCCCAGGACCCACCTTGTGAACCACTGGTCTCGACCACGCGGGTACCATTCAGTGTTCCATTTTTTTTTTAAGATTTTATTTATTTATTTGAGAGAGAGAATGAGAGAGAGAGAGAGAGAGAGAGCACATGAGAGGGGGGAGGGTCAGAGGGAGAAGCAGACTCCCCGCCGAGCAGGGAGCCCGATGCGGGACTCGATCCCGGGACTCCAGGATCATGACCTGAGCCGAAGGCAGTCGCTTAACCAACTGAGCCACCCAGGCGCCCGGTGTTCCATCTATTTTTAATTCATTTTCATTTGCAATTCCCCGATGGCATCGGACGCAGAGCATCTTTTCATAGGCTTACTTGCCATCAGCAAGACACCTGTGAGGGGTCTCTTCGGGTCTTCTGCCCAGTTCTTAATTAGTTGTTTGTTTCTTATTGTTAGGTTTTTTTGTTTTTGTTTTTCTTTTTATTAACCTATAATGTATTATTTGTTTTAGAGGTACAGGTCTGTGATTCATCAGTCTTACACATTTCATAGCGCTCACCGTAGCACATACCATCCCCAATGTCCATCACCAGTTACCCCATCTCTCCCACCCCCTCCCCTCCGGCAGCCCTGTTTGTTTCCTGAGATTAAGAGTCTCTTACAGTTTGTCTCCCTCTCTGGTTTCATCGTATTTCATTTTCCCCTCCTTCCCCTATGATCCTCTGTCTTGTTTCTCAAATTCCACTTATCAGTGAGATCATATGATACTTGTCTTTCTCTGAGTGACTTACTTCGCTTAGCATAATACCCTCTAGTTCCATCCACGTTGTTGTAAATGTTATTGTTGGGTTCTAAGAGTTCTTTGCATAGGAGCCTACTTCTGAATCCTGGCAAGCTTTGAACTCAGGTGGGGTGGGGGCAGAGGGTGTGGGGCGCTGGCTGGTAGGAAGAGAAGGAGAAGCAGACCCCAGATGCCTGGGGGAGGCCGTGGGTTCTCTGCTCTCCCCGCCCTGGACCAGCACCAGGCCCCCCCTCTTCAGTGTGCTGCCCCCCACCCATCACCGAACAGCAGAGGAGATAACAAGCCCAGGCTGGCCTCTCCACCATCCTGCAGGTGACGTCACTCTCCCCCCACCCCTCCCTGCTTACAGGTGACATAACAGGTCTGATGAAGTCCCTCACCAGCCTCTAGAATCACCTGGGGAGCATCAGCCACCCCCACATCCAGGCTGCCCGCAGCCCCACGAAATCTACATCTCTGAGCAGGAGTGGACATCTGAAGTTTTAAAAAGCTCTCCTGGTGTTTCTACTGAGTATCTGATGTGAACCACTGGGCTGACATTAAGACGGGGTAGCTCCTCTCTGTTCCCCCACCTCCCAGCTCAGCTCTCAGAAAGTCTGGTCCGGTTGAGGACCTGCCTGCATGTAGCATTTGAAACCCTGCCCTTCCTTCCGATCTTGATGGCCCAGGGCCCGTAGGGCTGCAGCCAATGAGCCTGGGAATGAGAAGGGAGGAGGCCGGGTCCAGCCTGGGGCAAAGAAGGCACACAGGCCTCAGCTGACTCCAAGACAGTCCCAAGTTCAAGAGCAGGAGAGAGCCCTGGGAGGCTATTGACCAGCATCCTTCCCCAGAATCAGGGAGGCTGGAGGGCAGCAGAGGGGGCAGGTGTTAGGAGTGAGTTGGACAGTTAGGGAGTCAGGGCCAGGGTCCCCAACAAGAAAATATGGAGTCAGAGGACAGCTAAGATCAAACAGCACTGATATTCTGCTTTGCAGCCTTTGCAGAAATGACGTCTGCAGAATGACCTAAAATAAGACAATTAACCACAAAAGCATTTGTCAATGTCACGGGCAAAGAGCAGGTAAGACCTAAGCCACCAGATGTCAGCAAAAAAAGACTGTGGACATGAACCTGATAGGTAGACAGATACGTGACCAAAGCCCTGATTGGCAGGACTCAGCACACCCTGATTGCTTAAGAAACTTCTGCAAAGGAGCTCATAAAAACCCCTGAACTTAGAAACTCTGGGGGCAACCCACTCGGGCCCCCCTCCCTCTCCGGGGGCTTTGTACTCTTGCTCAATAAACGTTGCTTCGCTGCCCACCACTCTTGTCCAGTCTACCTCTTCGTTCTTGGAAGCTGAGCGACCAAGAACCGCGGGCACTCAGGGATACAAATCCTACAACACAAGGTCCCCTCTGGTCTCTGCAGAGACCTGGGAGGCGTTGACAATTTGGTTTCTTCTCTTGGTCACCAAGGTACCCTCTTAGCGGGGGCTGGGCCGGGCGGGGCTGGAGGCAGAGCAGAACCTGGTGGATTTGCCTTCCCTGTGTCCTGGCACCGTGGCTGCCCCCCTTCCCTTTGGCTAACTCCAAAGACCCCTCAAAACCCCAACCTGCTGCTGTGGGACCCCACCTGATTGCACTTCAGTTCTTCCTGCGTGAAGGGAGGGAAATGATCCTAGGACACAGTGGGGCTGAGGAAGAAACCAGGTCAGGCAGGTCCAGGTCCAGGTGCGAGGAGGGAGATGAAGCAGGTGTGAGTGGCCAGGGGCAGCTGGGCTGCAAGGCTCAGGACCGCCTCCAGATGCTCCGGGTTCAAGGAGCTCCTCACCCCTTCCCGGCAGATGAGAACTGTCAGGCTCCCGGCCTGCTGCTGCCCAGAACGGATGCCAGATATTCTGACACCCAAGCCTGGAGGGCCTTCTTGGGAAGAATGAGATGGCAAGTGGTGGGGGGTTGCAGTGTCCCCCCAAAAGATATGTCGAAGTCCTGACCTCCAGCACCTGTGAATGTGACCTTCATGGGAAAGAGAATCTTTGCAGATGTAATTAATGAAGATGAGGTCCTACTGGATTGGGGTGGGCCCTGAGTCCAATGACAGGGGTCCTTATAGTGAGAGGGACACCTGGACCCAGACACAACCCGGGGAGAAGGCCGTGTGCAGACAGCGGCAGAGATGGGCGTGATGCAGTGAGACAGCAGGTGATGCCCACGGGCTACTGGCAACCAGAGACTCGGAGTGGCCAGGAAGGAGCCTCCCCCCAGTCTTCCGAGGGAGCACGGGCCTCCAGAACTGAGAGAATACATTTCTGTGGTTTTAAGCCCCCGAGTTTGTGATAATTTATTATTACCACAGCCGCAGGAACCAATACGGAAGGGGTCAGATTTCTGCTGCCGTTAAGGATCATCACAGAAGAGGGAGGTAACCACCAGCCCAGAGGCCTGAGTTGAGTGTCCCCAGGGTCATGAACTGAATGACCCCCCGGCCAGGCCACTGGTCCCCAGAACACAGCCTAGACCATCTTTTCTCAGAAGAGCATGGTGGTGCTCACTCTATAAAAGTTCCAAGAAGGCTGGCCCAGGGCTGCAGGCCGAGTGCGGACCATGCCACCCTCCTCTCCAGACACACACAAACACCCAAACACGGGCCCCGGGGCCCCTGGGAACAGCACCCAGGCCCTGGGAGCAGGAGGGGGACGGGCCTAGAGCCCAACTTCCCTGGGGGATTCTGGGACTGTCACCCTCGCGCTGATTCAGGCTTAGATCACCTCCCTCTGACTCTGCTAAAAATAGCCCAGCCTGACTTCTGCACATATTTGAATATTGGGCTCAAGAGACTCGTGATGCTGAAGAAACAGTGCGGCTGCTTCTTCCCACGTTGAGGGTGAAGTGAGCAGAACAGAGGCCATGTGCTTTCCCAGTCAAGTCTCAGCTGCCCGCGCGGCCCTGGCCATCCAGGCCTGGCCACCAGCCGCCTCCTCCTTGCAGACTGTCTGTTGGGGTCCCCGGGGCTGGCGTGGGCTTGGGCATTTGGCTTTTGGAGTTTTAGGCTGGGGCAAGACAGTGAGGGCTCCTTGGGAGCACACGGGACACCCCCGGAAGTCTCCCTACCCTTGCCCTACGGCCCCTCGATCCCTTAGAATCCCTCACCTGTGCCCACCTCATTCTGGGGTCCTCAGAAGGTAGGAGTGGAGGGGCGGGTAGAGGTTGTGAATTCCCAGCCTTATCTACAGCCGGATCTGTGTCTCATTTCCCATCTTGTTCCTTCTCCCCATCACTCATTCATTCAACAAGCATTCCCCCAGCCAAGTGTTTGCTGTGACGCTTGGCCCAGAGGGTGCAAAGCCTCCATCCAGAGCCTGTGTCTTGGGCACCAGTGTCCAGCCTGGGCTTGCTGGGGTTCACTGGGCTTCCTGAATCTGATGATGCTTCTTGTTCATCAATTCTGGAAACACCTCAGCCTGCACGTCTCCCTGTTTCGCCTCTTCCACCAAAACAGACCAGCCTCCTTGCCTCGCTGTTCAGGAACTCCATATGTCTTCTGCTTTCTCCTTTCACGAGGCTGTAGTCTGCAAGGGTCTTGGTTCTCCACCCTGATCTCAAGGCCACACGCTTCGTCCCCATGGAGGGAGCAACATTCAAAGC